GGTTTCCTCTTAATTACAAACAACACAAACCCCCCAGCAATTATGTGATAAACAATGGTGGTGATGCCTTAGATTTTAGCTTTTATATTTTTTAGATTCTGTGCTGCTTTAGTGTGTGGGTCTGGGTTTCACATGAGGGGATGGTGAGCTCTGTGCACAGAGCAGGGAGACAAAACAATTCCTGCTCCAGCTGGGCACCAAGGACAAATGATCCAAATCTCAGCCCAAGAGCACAAACATCGTGGGCTGGAGAGAGAAAAACAAGCAGGATGGGACTGGAATTGGACAATGAACTGCAAGGTGCAAATGGAGCAGAACTGATCCCAGGGACAGACCCCATGCCCGGTCATGCATTTTGGGACCATTTTTGGTTCATCTCGGATGCAGCCCTGGCTGGGCTCTTGTGCTGCCCAAGGTGGATCCATGGGGGCCTTTTAATAAATCCCTGCTTTATTCTTTAGCTCTGTCCAGCCTCTGTTCCAGGGCAGCCTCTCAAGGCATCAGTTTGAGTGGGAAAGGGCTCTGGGAGCTCCTGGGAAGGCTCAGGAAGGCCTGGCCTGGCACATGCTGCCCTCTTCAACCAGGACACCCCAACAGATGGCACCTGGCACTGGAACTGAAGATAAACCCAAAGAAGTGCCTAAGAAAGGGCTCTGACTCAGGCAGAATTTCCACTTCTCTGCACAACTGCACTTGTCTTTGCTGAGTTGAAAACATTCCCTGCCAAGTGATGAAATGGGGCCTTGGAGGCTCCATCATTCATTATCACATTTCAGCCTGAGTGGTCTCCAAACCACAACTTTTCCCAAGGGTTTGAAATATTATTTTATTTATTTTTTAATTGGAGCTGGTTAAGTATTGAGCCCTTATCTAAATCAGATATCTTCAGGTGCAGAATTATTTGTCATTGGTTATTGCTTTTTATTTTCTACAAACATTCAGTTGAAAGTAAAACTAAAAACTGCTGGAGATGACCTCAGATCATTATTGTTACTTGAGGGAAAAAAAGACAGACTGAAAAAAAAAGGACAGACAGGCAATCTTATGCTTGTATTCTCACATTTCTAATTTGTATTGCTATGGCATGGCCAGGTTCAGGTGCTGGGGGGCTCTGTGAGAAGCTGCCAGAAGCTTCCCCTGTGTCCAGCAGAGCCAATTCCAGAGGCTCCAGGACAGACCCGGCCCTGGCCCAGGCTGGGCCCCTCAGTGACAGCAGCAGCACCTCTGGGGACACTTGGGAAGGGGAGGAAATGCCCTGGAGCTGCAGCTGGCTGAGAGCAGGGAGGGTGTGTGAGAGGAGCAGCTCTGCAGAGCCCAGGGCAGGGCAGGAGGGGCAGGAGCTGCTCCAGGGGCTGAGCTGAGACCCCTGAGCCTGGGGGGCAGCCAGGGAGAGGCAGCTGAGACCCCCAGCCCTGGGCTCAGCATGGAGCAGAGATCATCCCCTGCAGAACAGCATGGAGCAGAGATCATCCCCTGCAGAACAGCATGGAGCAGAGATCATTCCCTGCAGAACAGCATGGAGCAGAGATCATCCCCTGCAGAACAGCATGGAGCAGAGATCATTCCCTGCAGCCCTGGGCTCCCCCATGGTTCACAGATCCCCCTGCAGCCCCACACAGGAGCAGGGGGTGCCTGCAGGAGCCTCTGACCCCGGGAACCCCACACTGGAGCAGCTCCTGGCAGCACCTGTGGAGAGAGAGGAGCCCAAGCTGGAACAGCTTTGCTGGCAGGAGCTGTGAGCCCACAGGAGAACTGGGCTGGAGCAGCTCCTGAAGGACTGACTGCACCCATGGAAGCACCAGGCTGGAGCAGCTCCTGAAGGATGCAGCCCATGGGAAGCTCTCAGCCTGCAGAAGCTCAAGGAGCTCACTGTCCCTGTGGGAGGGTCCCCACACTGCAGCACAGGAAGATGTGAGGAGCCCTTGCCCTGAGGAGGGAGGAGCAGCAGAGACAACCTGGGATGAGCTGAGCACAGCCCCCATTCCCCATCCCCCTGCTCCACTCAGGGCAGAGTGGAGAAAGCTGGGAGTAAAGTTAAACCCAGGAAGAAAGGAGGGATGAGAAGAAGCTGGTTTAAGATTTAGTTTTTATTTGCCATTATCCTACTCTGATTTGGTTGTTAATAGATTTTTTGGAGCTCTCCCTGCCCTTATCCTGATTCATTGCCTTTCCTTATCTCTCCTTTCCCCATCCAGCTGAGGAGGGCAGGGACAGGGTGGCTTTGGTGGGCACCTGGAGTCCAGCCAGGTCCAACCACCACATAAACACACACAGAACTACAGCACAGACACAGGTTCAGGGAGAGAGAACCCATGGGCTTCTCTACTCTGCTGTCAAAGGCTCAGAAGGAGCAGCAGTGTGTGCTGTGAGCCCTCACCTAACAAAGATCATTAATGACCACCCAATTACCTAAAGCTTGGCTCAACTTAAAACATTCTCCAAAGGGACATTTGGTCTTAATTTGAAAACAAAAAAGAATAGAGAATCTGCCACTTCTCTTGCTGTTTTGTTCCAGCAGTTAATCATCCTCATTGCAGAAAAACTGTCTTTGATTTCCTATTTGAATTGTGTAATTTCAGCCTCCAGGAAAGATTTCTCTTGTGTTTGTCTTGTACATATGAGACCACTTTCTAATGCTGTTTTATGGTTCATGTCCTTACAAGCTCCAGCCACATGACCCTCCCACAATTTCAGATACCCAAAATACACTGAGCTCTCATGATTAGCTTTCCTCCAGCCTTTGATCATCTATTTCAGTTCTTCTGGGCCCTCTCTGGTTACTCTCACCCATCCAAAGGTGGGCACCAAACCTACAGCTCAGGATTCTCACACAGGTCCCAGCAATGTCCCAAAATGAACTCCCTGGTCATGAACTGCACTCCTGTGACAAGTCTCCATTTGGTTTTGCCCCTGAGCTCCTGCAAAGTCCTTTCAGCCCCATTCTCAAGGGTGCAGCTCCCACAGACAGGCCCTACATGCCCTGCTCCCAGGTCTGGCTCTACAGGCGCTGAACAGAACCACTCTGGGCTTTCCATGGGTTGCCCAGCCCATAACACAGTGAGAAATGAAAGAGTTAATGCAGCACCCTGCTCCCAGCTGGCTCGTGTTGATCCCAGCTCAGAGCTGAGAGGAAAAGCTCTGCTCTGGACTCCCCCTTGAGCTGAGCTCTGCTCAGGTGTTTCAGCTGCCTGAGCTCCTCTCCAGTGCCCAAACTCTCCCTGCCAAAGGGGCTGTACCAGGGGCTGCAATCATTCCATCCAAGCCCTTCCACGGGTGAACTGTCCTGGTGGGGCCTCCGGCCCAGAGCAGCACACTGAGAGGCTGAGGAGACAACCTGGAGCATCTCCTGGGCTGGGGTGACTCACGGGAAGCGCCTGAATCACCAAATTCCAGGGAGCCAGGGGTGGGGCAGACAATGCCTCAGGTGGACATGTCTCAAGCTGCCCCGTGGTAGGTGAGCACTGGCCACACACACCTCTCCACAACAGTCAGAACAGCTTGTTATGTGCTTAAATAATTGAGCTGTGTTTGTATTTTGCTGTTAAAATACACTACTTGTCCCTTAAACATTTTTGTCAGGAACAGTGACCTGCACACAGAACTCCATGGCAGCAAACATGGCAGCCTGATTACTTAAAACCAACATTTCTGCCCCAGAGAGGAAGCTGGAATTCACCCATGCAATTAGGTTAGGTTAATGCTGTGGACAGACATTATCTGATATCCTATTTTGTAATCCTCTGCTAAGCAGGATGCTGCTCATTTTGGGAGCCAGCAAAACAGCTAACTCACTGTCAGAGCTGAGCAAAGTCATGAGCAGTCCCTGAGGGGCTGAGATGAGTTCAGCCCTGCAGCTGGTAATGGTCCAGAGTCATTTAGAAAAGTCACTAAATTTTACATTCAGGTTGAAGGTTGCTTTAAACCAATATTTATCAGTACAAATCTCAGGAGAAAAGAAAACACTTCTCCTGTCAGAAGTGAACTTTACAATGTTCTTCTGATTATCAACTGATTTGGTTCTATGCCAATAATATTTTACTCTTTTTCTAATCCTTAATTAATCCTTTTTAGACACAATCTGTGTTCAGCACATTCTGCTCAGAATAAATATTTTGCTGTGTATCTGTATCATAACAAGATCTTCAATATCCAGGCAAATATTTTCATATATAAAGAACCTCACTAGATGAGTGCATAAAACAAGAAAAATCACCTGATTCCTGAAAATTGAGCTCTCACACTTCCCTTGAGCTTGGTGGGAATTTGTGAGCTCTCAGCAGCTGCAGACAAGACACTGAGGAAGTCTCCAACTTAAGTTCACAATGCCTGATTTAAGGCACACTTCTGAAAATGCTGCCCTGAATTTTCCATTTCCCCTGGCAAAGCCAGGATTTCCCCAAATCACACACAGAAACATCTCTTTCAGATTAAAAGGGAAACCTAAAAAGGTCCTGAGAACAGCAAGGAGGAAACAGTGATCTATCATCTAGTTTTCCCCCACAAAAATAAAATCTTGTAATAGCGTAAGACATTTCAACACACAGTTTCTATTTGTTCTTGTCACATTCAACCACAAGTGAACAATTTTTGAGCACAGTGCATACACAGAAATGACAAATACACATGCCTGATTAGACTTACATTTGCAAATAGAAAGTGACAAAAATATGGTTTTGGCCAAACAAAATTACCTTTTTTTTTCTATAAAAATGATGCATGCACATTACAGTTCCATAAACACAAGTGATTTAAAGCACATAGTGCTTCTAACAGCCAGGTTGAAGCCATTTTGTAAATGCAGCCCTTCAAACAACCAAACACTACTTTTCTGGGCTGCTGCTTAGGAAAACACCACTGAGCACTTACAGATGGCAAATAAAAACCAACTTTTGAAGCTGGAGCCTGGTGTGGGAATTGTGCCTGGGGAAGCAGGCAGGGTGAGGTCTCACTTTTGGCTCTACAGGAAGGCATAGAAGAAGGGCACAGCAGATGTCACTTACCACAGGAGCAGCAGGTGAAGCAGTTGGTATGATAGAGGTTGCCCATTGCTTGGCAAGCCTGGCTCGCTCCATACACACCTTTTCCACATTTTATACAAATACCTACAAAGCAGAAAGAGAATCAGAGTTAAAATCCTCCACAGCTCCTAAGAGCAGCTCCAGGCTGTTGATTCACAACACTCAGGAGACCCCCACCATTGATACCCTGAATCAATGAGCTCCTCACCCTGAATAGATTCAAGTACCCACGAGAGCAGCAGGCGGCTGCAGGGAAACAAATGCATGGAAATCAACCCAAAATGAAGGGGGGCCAAGCCTCTGCTGGTGTTTCAAGGCAGGGAGACTGAGGCTGGCTGCAGACAGAAATCCAGAGGGGGCAGGTGCAGCCAGAAAGGACAGAGAAATCCACACACTCTGCAAACAATTCTGCCAGCCCAAGAAATAATTCAGCGAGACCTTCACAACAAAGTGCTCCTCCACATGACATTCAACAACCACTGATAAAACAACAATTCAGTCCAAGCCCAAAGGATTTCTCCTTGGCCCTCTCCACAAACACACACCAAGCACAGCAGTGAAAGGCACTGGGAGAATGGATCTGTCAGTCACATCTAGGAATTGTTTCATTCCCTGTGAGCAGAGGATGTAACCTCATCAGCACACCCTGGCACCTTACACCCCAGCAGCAAAGCCTCTGCCTTCCTTCTGGTCCCAGGGCAGAAATTCAGAAATCCAGGCTGTGCTGCAGTGTGCTCAGAAATTCCCCCTCACTGCCCACCCCTGCTCCTGGGGATGCCAGGGATGCTCCCATGGAGTCCTCAGGAGGCCAAAGCACCAGGAGCCAACAAGTCAGAGGTCAGTTCTACACTTGGTAAATTCACAGGAAAGGTCATGATTTCACTAAGCTCCACAAAGGGGGGGTTTGGTATCGGGGAGTATTTAAAGCTATTTCCTCAACGTTTTTGGGGTTTTTTTTAGTCTTTTGCCTGTGCATTTATTTCTACCTATGCATAACCTCTAAATTCAAACCAAGGAAGGAAATAAATTCAAGCATCACTTTGGTTTTGCATCCTTACAAAGAAGAACTTAAACTCTGGGGAATCCATATCCTCCTGTCACCCAACTGGGACTACTGATTTTTAAGTTCCTCTGAGATGTCCACAGGTCTCTATTCAATCCTAGCAGGAGAGTCCCTCAGGACAAGGCTGGTGATATTTTTTAAATACTACAGTAGAAAATAAGAACAAAGATTTTTTGCTTCAAACAACTCTAAAGAAACTGCTGTGTTGTTCTATTTCTACAAGTGCCGGCACAAGCTTGGCATTAATCATTGGCACCAACAAAACTGCTAATACACCTAAGAACCTAGGAACTGCAGAACTACAAAACGAGGCTTTTATCTTCCAGAATTCGCCCCTGCTGTGCACATGCTGTGTAAGTACATGAAAATAAAAATGCAAGTTCTGTGAGGGATGATCAGCATATCATGAACAGGCATCCCTCTCTTCTCCTGGGAGACATCCTTCCATGAACTTCTCCCGTGTGAGAGCTTCCACAGACTGCAGTCCTTCAGGAGCCTGGTCCTTTCCATGGGTGCAGTCAGTCCTTCAGGAGCTGCTCCAGCCCAGCTCTCCTGTGGGCTCACAGCTCCTGCCAGCAAAGCTGTTCCAGCTTGGGCTCCTCTCTCTCCACAGGTGCTGCCAGGAGCTGCTCCAGTGTGGGGTTCCCGGGGTCAGAGGCTCCTGCAGGCACCCCCTGCTCCTGTGTGGGGCTGCAGGGGGATCTGTGAACCATGGGGGAGCCCAGGGCTGCAGGGGATGATCTCTGCTCCATGCTGTTCTGCAGGGGATGATCTCTGCTCCATGCTGAGCCCAGGGCTGGGGGTCTCAGCTGCCTCTCCCTGGCTGCCCCCCAGGCTCGGGGGTCTCAGCTCAGCCCCTGGAGCAGCTCCTGCCCCTCCTGCCCTGCCCTGGGCTCTGCAGAGCTGCTCCTCTCACACACCCTCCCTGCTCTCAGCCAGCTGCAGCTCCAGGGCATTTCCTCCCCTTCCCAAGTGTCCCCAGAGGTGCTGCTGCTGTCACTGAGGGGCCCAGCCTTGGCCAGGGCCGGGTCTGTCCTGGAGCCTCTGGAATTGGCTCTGCTGGACACAGGGGAAGCTTCTGGCAGCTTCTCACAGAGCCCCCCAGCACCTGAACCTGGCCGTGCCAGCCCAGTGCAAGACACCCTTTCCAGAACTGAACTGCTTCAGTTCAGAGCAACATCAACACAGCCATCAGTGTGAGCTGTGGAGTGGGATTAGATTAATTGGGATACTGGCAAGTTTAGAAAAAGCAGTTTTCCTGTACTACAAATTCCAACACTGAAATGGAAAGACCATTCATTAAATCACAGGGTTTATTGGTGTTTATACCTTTAACTCTCTCATTTCATGCCTTGAAGGGAGATTAGCTTTTCATTTATCTAGCTCAACATTCTGGCACGATGTTGCCATTTTAGACTATTTGTCGAATGAAATTATGAATTTCAAAATTCAATACATCCATTAATATTTTTTAAAATTTTAAACATGATCTCAGAATTTAGGGAAGAAAAAACTATAACTTTAAGATTAACATTAAGTTTACCCAAGCTAAACCTAATGAGATAAACTAGCTGCCATCCAGATCCATCAGTTTATTGCAAGATTTTTAAGAAAATGCCAGTCCTTGGGTGAGCTCAGCCCTGACACAAGAAATGGAAATTTCAGAACATTTCTTGCCTTATCCAAGGCTGCCAAGTTTATTCATGTATTTGTAACCAAATGTTATGGACAACATCCTCTATTTGCCATGAGTTAAAGGTTAACTGATCAGAGATGGGCACTGTGGGCATTGTGCCTGGCAGAGGTGTCCTGTGAGCCAGCAGCTGCAGGAATTCCTCACTCTGGGCAGCAGCACAGAGCCCAGGAGTGAGGAATGGGCTCTCTATCCCAGCACATCCCAGCCCAGGCCCTGCTCTCTGCTCCAGCACATCCCAGGCTCTGCAGGACCTGTCCAGGAAGGGCTGCACAGCCCCAGCACATCCCGGGCTGTGCAAGGCCCTGCACAGCCCCAGCACATCCCAGGCTGTGCAGGGACTGGCCCAGGAAGGGCTGCACAGCCCCAGCACACCGCAGGGCTCCGTAGGGCCCTGCACAGCCCCAGCACATCCCAGGGCTCTGTAGGGCCCTGCACAGCCCCAGCACATCCCAGGGCTCTGTAGGGCCCTGCTCTCTGTCCCAGCACATCCCAGGGCTCCGTAGGGCCCTGCACAGCCCCAGCACATCCCAGGGCTCCGTAGGGCCCTGCACAGCCCCAGCACATCCCAGGGCTCTGTAGGGCCCTGCACAGCCCCAGCACATCCCAGGGCTCTGTAGGGCCCTGCACAGCCCCAGCACATCCCAGGGCACTGCAGGGCCCTGCTCTCTGTCCCAGCACATCCCAGGCTGTGCAGGGCCCAGCTCAGGAGGGGCTGCACAGCCCCAGGGTCACACCTGGGCCAAGCTGGTGCCACCTCAGCACCACACCCTGCTCCAAGTCCCAGTTCACTCTTGGCTGTGGGGACAGAGGAAGCCCCTTCAGAGCCCCCCAGCTCCCTGGGCACTCCTTGCCCACCTTTTGGGGCCAGCTCTGGCAGCTGTTGATGATCTGGCTGCCTGGCAGGTTACACCAACCCAACTACGATTTCCCATCTATGCTTAAAGCTTTCCAAAGCAGAGCAGGAACCCACAGTCTGTAACTCTGGCAATTCTGTCTCTGGGCCCTTGCGCACAAATCTACTACAGCCCAAACTGCTTTGATAAATGCAGTTATTACCTCATTTCTCTGACATTGCTGCACTGAGCCATCAGAAGCAAAAAAAAGGATTTATTGTGGATGCTAAACTTGCACTGGCCTCCCCAAGCAAGTGATTAGTTAGGAGCAGCTGTCAGTTTGTTAACTTGTTTTCACCAAGAGAGCAGTCATTAACTCCAGGAAGGAATGACCACAGAGATGATTAGCATACTAAAAAAGTGTATGTAAAATTCCAAAAGGGTATTTTGGAAAATATATATGCAGCTGCAGTGTGAGTTCAGTGTGAGCTCATGGCTGCCAAGGAGAAGCCCTGATTACACGGCTGCTCAGCTCTGCTTTTCCACCAGTCCCAGCCCAGACTGCACACTGTAGGCTTGTGAAGCCCTGACATAACAGCTACATCACTTTTCCCCCTCCCCAGATTCAATTCCAAGGCTTGTTAAACCACCTATGAAGAATGTTCTGTTGCAGAGCAACCATGTCTGGTTTTTGACACTTCCCTTGACATGACTTCAGAGCAACTTCTGCCCTTATACGATTCCTTGCCCCTCCTGACAGCTCAATTCTGAGCAGTCAGCTGTACCCAGATCTTCAACACAGCAGCTGCTTTGTTCCTGCCCAGGTCATCAGCTCTCCTACAGATCTGGTGTCTCTACCCAGAAAAATGCGTTGCAAGATGTTGCATTTACTCAAAGTTGCCGTGAAGGTTGGCTGAGGCAGGAGCAGAGTCACAGCAGCCTGGCTGGGGTGGAGAGAGGTTCACACCCTCACAGAGCACTGAACCAGACAGAGCAGAGACTGAGCAAACACTCCATGGGGCATAGCAAAGGACCACCTACAAAAATGGTACTGGGAAGAGAAGGAGCTCCCAGAGGCTCCCTGCTGCACTCCAGCACATGGCCAGGGCCCCCCACATCTTCAACCATGCACTTGGCTGAGCTGGAGCACATCAGAGAGAACGTCACCTCTAGACATGGGGCAGGCAAGCCTCCAGCCCTGCATGGCAGCACAGGCACAGCTCCTGGGAGCTCCCACAGCACAGCAGATCACACTGGTGTGCTCAGGGACCTGAGACCAAATGCAGTGCATTATAATTACAAAGGTATCAGCAACAACCTATTTTTCAGCCTGCTGGTGCTTGTAAGAGTTCCATGTGCATTACAAGAACTTCAGTTTGGGACCTGTACATCAGATCCAGTAATGCTCTTTTGGCCATGCCAGCACAGGCTGCTCCTTCATACAGACTTCACCAGGCAGCCAGAATTAGGGAAAAAACCTGATAAATGCCAT